AAAACGATATAGTTGAATATAATAAAAATACCATATATGCATAATGAAATATTTTAATTATTGATATCATGCAATAAATGACAGTGGAAAATACTCTCTAGTTGTGGCAGGATACTCACAGTAGCTAATGGGGGCTTTACAAAGTTTAGGGATAGCACCTGATTGACAAATAAGACAACCTCAGCAAAGTGTACTAAAATTGCAGAATACATATGTATACATTTGAATCCACTGACCAAAAAGCAACGATGTCTACTCTTGTTCTAACAATGCTTCTTCAGGATTTTAGTTGAACATCTGTTAGGATATGAATTGACTCATTAATGGTGCCCTATATGTCCTCTTGAAATATTCAAATGGAATATGAATTTTTTGCTTGTTATTTGCCAGAACAGCTCTATATAGATTTACAGTCTCAAAATATTGTATTCCATGTTTCCTGGTAAAATTGTTCATCCATCTCAAGCTCCTCATCCTATAATAAAGCTGAATATAGAGCTACCTAATAAAAGTTATTGTAGCTGCATTTATCCTTAATTCCATTATCTCACAATTGTATATTGTTTTGGCTTTCTCCTACTATTGTCGCTAGAATTGGTATTCCTTTTATTTTAATTTGTTGCAAGACTCCAATACTCTTAGAAGTTTGACTTTATTTTCTTAGAGTTTATACATACATGTCTTCAACATTAGCAAAATAAATATCATAAACTAAATTAAATATGTAAAGGAGCATTGAACATTTTTACTACCCTATTCTAATCTGGAAACATCCTTAAAACTCCCCTCTGTTATGCATGCATGTCCTCACTATTAAAAATATATTCAACTTATTCTTGGACCTCTAGTGCTTGTTTATTCGAGATCAATGTACAATCACCATCCTTTGTGCAAGCCACCAAACTTTCATCAACTCCTAGCAAATCCAATCGTTTTTATGGTTAATTGGTGGAACCAATGCTGTGAAGACCGAGGAATGGAGATTAGAGTACAACTTATCATGCCATAAATTTATTTACAATTTGTTCCTCTTCTAATATATTGTTGGACCAGCTGTTGAAATTGGGCAATTGTGATGCCATATGGGACACCTTCATGGGCTGTCCAAATGATAGGATCATCAAAGGCTGTCGACTACCTAACTTGGAAGGCTATCTTGGCCTACTTCTTGCCCAGTTTTGGTAGTATAGGACCAAGGATGCAAATTAAATTATTGCTGTGAATAAATTTGTGATACCCACAGACTATTTGTTGATTAAAGTGGTCCATCTAGGACTTCCAATATCATCAAACTATCAGAGTTCAGAATCCAAATTGAATATAGTGAAATCTTGGACTGATTTAATAAAAAAAAAACCCAGGGAGGAATTGGATCATAACAATGTACCATCCATATGGCATCAATTTCTTCCTCCTAATCAAATGGAAAGTCCAAAAAGTTCTAGATGTAGACTGTGAACCAAAATTGGTGGTCACTGATATATCATGTAATCAAAAGCTAGAATTTTTTCTATTGGGTTCAGAGTATCAATTATGAAGGGCCTCTTTGGGTTGTATCAGTTGACAGATAAGGTGTTACTTCTTGTAGGGGGTAATTTGAAATGAAGAAGTAGACTATACTGAAGGACCAGCAAATGCATTATGCAGATATCTAATATCAGGAAAACATGAAAACTACAAAAATCGATCAGTTGATATCCCTTAACTACATGTAATACCTCATCTCCAGCTCACACAGTTGGTGAAAGGAAATTGGTCCAATAAAGCGATTTAAGTTTCAAATTATATCAGTACAACATGTTTGGAACACTCATTAGTAGAAGATATATGGTTTTCATGTATAAGCAAGGATCGAATGCGTGTCTCCTCTAGGATGGTAGCCAATTGGTTCTATACAATCACACACAATTCAATAGCTCATCATACGAAAGAGCAGCAAAAGAATGGAAAAAAAAAATCTGGGTCGAGAAAGTCTTTAGAGATTAAGTCTTACATCAGAAATTCTTGATGCAAGTCGAGCTAAGTTACAAATTAGATCAATTTCTCCAGACAAGTTACAAATGTAATGCACGTTTAGATTCACCTAGAGGTATAATTTCAAATTCTAATCAAAGAGAAAATTCAATATTACTACTTAGCGCAATGGTCAAATAGGACTGCATTCTTTGTAGATAATGTTATAGAGCAGAAGTAAAGATGAACCAATGGGAAGAAGCGATTTATGAATTCATTTTCCACCTTCAATTTGAAGGACGTTTTGTAGTTTCGCCACATCTTAAATTTTCTTTTCCTTAGAATTCATTTATAGCTCCCTTCTCAATCAAACTATGCAGAAATCTCCAATGAAAGACATCAAAATCTAGCATGTTTTTCTTAAATTTGCAAGCTACATTACATGATTTCGTGAAGATTAATATAACCCTGGATCGAAGAGTAAGGTAGGTGGCCCTAACCATCAGAGCCTTGGCCTAGTATTTAGGGCAGAGAGTAATACTCCAAGAAGGAGCTTTATTTATGATCCCAGTAGAACGTTAACACTCGTCAATTAGCTTAGAACATTGACAACATTGACCATTACCTCATCTTCCTACTTTTCCTGCCTATCATTGAATTGCTCCACCGTGCTAGGAATTATACCGATCGTCTACCTTAGGGTTTTAAGCATCTCATCCAGGATCAAATGATTTCCTCGTATGGCAAGAGTTGCTCCAAGGAACTGCGATGCGACGAGAAAGAAAAAGATCGGAAGAATGGGGAAGAACTGACCTCCGGTCCCAGCGGCAGAGCGGTGCACTCCATCGCCTCCGAGGTCGACTTCCCTGTTGAGGATCGCACCGGCGACGGACGACACAAACCGGCCCAACAAAGGGTTTTTGAAGGAGACGGAGAGGGAGATGCCGAGCGTGTGAAGGAATATTCTCGTCTGTGCCCGGTTAGGATTTGGTACGGTTCGATCACAATCCAAGAGACCGACAAACCAAACCGGTTCGACAACCGAAACCGAGCCATACTGAAACCGAGTTTGTAGTAATATTTCGCCTATTTATCGAGTGTTTAACTTTTGGAGTGATATAATAGTATATATTGGTTTGTGATTTCACTAACTTTAAATATTATTTTATTATTTTTTGTTAAGATATTAGGATTGATTAATGTATTATCATATAAGTGACAGGTGTCATGTTCAAATCAACGTTATATAGGTCATTGAATATAATAAAAATATTATTTTACTAGTCAGCTCATACGTTCAACTAAAATTATTAAAATAATAATAAAATTTAAAATATTTTAGATAATAAAAAATATAAATATAAAATAGCTTGTTGTTGAAGTGGAGTTAATGTTTTTGTCCAAAGGAGATCAAGGGGAATTCCAGCGCTGTAATATATAATGTTTAAGTGTATAATCTCCTAAAAGATCTTTAGAATGATAAATAATTTTAATTTTTGAAAGGAATAAAATTTCTTACAACACTTTATTTAATAGAGGATAAGAAATTTAATCTCGAAAATAATATTTGAATATTATGATTTGGGTAGTTAATAGGCATTTGTGTATTCCAGGATTTTAGTTTGGGAGGTTGAAAGATGATAATAAGGTTTTTCCTAGATCTAGGGTGAGAAACTGTTTCCCATATTACGTTTGAAGGTATACAAGGGGAACTAAAGCTTGGACCTGAGTTAATTTGGACAGAGTTTTATTACTTGTATTTTATTGTTCTCACAATGAATATGTCAAGAAATGACATATTCATTGGCGTAGGTAAGAAATGACAAACTATGTAAATTATATGTCCAGTATCTTGATCAATGGTTTTATCTATATTTATGAGAATCCAATGTCATTTATATTCAAATTTAGAATAATTAAATGATAATTTAAATAATAAATGCATCAATGTTCATTTATGAATGTAACAATTTAAATATTATCCATTTTACCTTAAATTTTTACTATAGAGGAGCAATAAAATCTAAATAATGAATCAATAGTTCTTAAATTTTTTCTATAAATTTTATGATATTGATATTCAAATTTGGTACATTTTCAATGTGATTATAAGAATAATCAATGATATTAATTCATAAGTGTGACAAGGGAGTAATAAATGAACCCAAATGTCTCGGAGGGAGTAGTATCATTAATGAAGGAGACGGGGGGGCAAGGGCAAAGAAAGCTAGTGTCATCCCAAAAGAGAAGTTAAGATCATCAATAGAGAATAAGGGCATAAGGGCAATGAAGGGATCATCTCCCAAGGAAGGAGTCAAGATTATTAACGAACGGGAGCAAGAGGAAAAACCTAAGGCAATCACAAAATCATCCTCTAAGAGAGTCAAAATTATCAAGAAACGGAAGAGATAGGGATAGAGAAAAAAGAGGGAGGCCACAAGCAAAATCGACAATGTCAACAAAGAAGAATAGACTAATATGATAGAAGATGAACAGGACTAAGAGAGCACAGGCCAATTCAGGGGCAACTTCTCAAAAAGAGGAGCTCCCAAGGAAAGAACAAAAAAGAAGTTGCTTTCTTAGGTGAGTTTCCCCAAGAATGTAAGAGAATTTTGTATTGTTGATAAAGGTCTAAATTATTCATGTTGAAATGTCAACCGGACAACTCCTAGAGATTTTAGCATTTTAAGCTCCGATGTCTCGAGAACTAATAAAAAAGGAATGAATGATCAATTTCCTCTCAGTTTTTAGAGAGGAAAATATGTTCAAGCAAAACGACTCTATTCGATTTGCAGAGGAACTCACACTAGAAAGAATAGGTTACTCTTAGTTCTTTTGCTAAAGATAGTTTTCTAACGTACCTTATTGGAGCCGCAGCCATTTGTCTCTTGCCGGTTTAGAAGCAGGTGTTGCTCAGGTCGAAATTCCATGAGAATCAAAATATATGCTGCATCTGTCATTCCTGGTAAAATTGTTAGTATGCACTTACCGTCAGGATAAAGATCATGAAACTGAAACACAAAAATTGTGTACAAGATGCAAACACATAATATGTTATGATATAAATAAATTAACCTAGATCAATTTTTTGACCAAGCCAACATACAAATTCATCAGATATCGAGAAAATGAAAGCTGAGATACATAGGAAAGAGAAACAAGAGATGTTATGTTTTACTACCAATTGAGTTGCGCATCGAACTAAATGACTGTATGGTAATACTTCCCACGTGCAACAACAGTTTATTACACCTTCGCTAAATCATGCCGTGAATTGAGTAAGTCAAAGGCTGTGTTATACCAAAACCAGCCTACGGAAGTTCAATCACCAAGGTATTAGCATAGAACAGTCAATCAATGCATAGGGATCCCAAATAAATGGATATCTATAAGCCCATAGACTTCTCAACCTTCTGAATTTGATTCAAGAATATCCATGTCATCTGCAAAACATCCCTTTTGATCATTCACATATCTAAAGATATGATTCAGTATGTCAAAGAAGCAATAATGAGAAATTCCGAAGGGAAGAGACAAATTTTACCATGACATGCGGAGCAATTCTCACACAGTAGACAGGAAATCCAGTGTAAAATTTGAAAGGACCACCGGACTTCAGAGTCTTCATGGCACAATCTAATGACCCAGTGTAGGGATACTTTCCATTGGCATCAGGCTGCATCTTCTGTATTTGTGTTTTCACATAGTCAAATGGTAAACTGCAAGCAGATGCAAAGAATCCAGAAACAGCACTTGCCCCTGGAGATGAAGAGAGGGTAGCATCAAATCAATCTATATATATTATAAGTGCTAAAAACCCTAATTCTGCAAACAATATAGAAAGAATGTCCAAAACACAAACAAACACTAACAATACCCAGAATGTAATCAAACACTAACTAAATTCTGCTAGATGACCTGATATGGTGAAGGTCATGGGCAACCACATTTTCTTGGTTACAAAAAGGTTAGAATGGTAGAGGATCCAAATATCCAGAGGTTGAGAAGTCCAAAAAGATGCACTCTCAATTTTAACTTCTGTCAATTAAATGCATAAGCTTATATAATAATTTTAAGCTTCAAGCAAACGTGAGAACAACAACGAGAAGTCATAATGTCCAAACTGTTTTGGGTCAACCATATAGAACATCCTTAGTTAAATCAAGAACATTCAAATCTCTATTTATATTTTCTTGTACAGTCTTCTTAGGTGTTCCTCTACCTCTCCTCAACACTAATCCCAATTGTCTCGCCTTATCTAATCATAGTGTGTGTGTGTGTGTGTATATATATATATATATATATATATATATATATATATATATAAGTCTCTTTAGAATATCTTCATACCATTTTAGACAATTCGCTCACATTTTATTTTCTATTGGAGCTATAACTAACTATTGAATGAAAAAAAAAATTTCCTATCATTTCTAGTAATTCTGCATCTCCTAATCAACATTCTCATTTCAATAACAAATATTTTGTACCTGTCCTTTTTTAACTGCCCTAATACTCCAATGCATAGAAAATGAGTGACCTAATAATTGTCTTATAAATTTTTCTTTTAGTTTGAAAAGCATTTCGCTACTCTCCACTTTGATCACCCATCTTTTATGAAAATATCCTTCTCAATCTCTCAATCTTATTTAATAGTATATGCAAAATATTTAGAGCTTTTATTTCTAAAAACTTCTTGTTCATCCATCCTAATTATATTCTTGGTTCTTCTATTGACATTACTAAATTAACATCTCTGTAGTTTAGTCCTAGTCCTATTTAATTTAAGACCTTCGTGTCATCAGTTTTGGTTCTGTTCAAACTCTCATTAATCACAGCAATATCATAAGTACATAACATGCCATAATGAGAGTTTTTATAGCATATCACTAGTAAGTCTGACTTTCACTAATGTGAATAATAAGGATGTAAACTTGATCTTTGATGTAATCCTATAATAGCACGGCATACTAGAATAAATATTGAAAAGATGTTTGCTAGGATAACATCCGTAACTTATAACACCGACTAAAGCACTGCTGCAAAAAAAGAAAAAAGAAAAGGAAAAGGATATGATAACATCTATACAAATGGATCAAAACTAATTAACAGGAAACTATGAAATGCCACGATTATCATCATCCAAGACTTCTGCTAGACTATGTTTAGCAATTTAGAAAGCATCATAAGCCTAGAAGACACAAAGTTTTCACTGCTTTGAAGAGTACATAAATCCTCCAAGAGAGACTCGAGATTATCAATGATGTTAAAAATAGATTACTTGCTATGTAACCTAAGAAGTCAATTTTAACCAAGATCTAAATTTTGATGTGGTCATAAAACCCATGCGACTTCCAACTCCCGAAGATTTCTTAGATGGAAGCAAATTCACAAGTAAAAAAAAAAAAATGATGCCCCTGATCTATCAAATTGTATTTGTCCAAGCCTCAAGTGACATAAAGTGGGACCACTAAAATATGTTGTTCCCACTGCATTCTTTGAGGCCACAACAATTAAAGTTGAAGAAATCAACCCCATGGAAAAAAGAGAAAAAACCTCAGCAGGAGTTTTGCAAGTTCTCCACAGAACTGGAAGATCTTTTCGAGATGTTCAAGCATATTCAAGAGTTCAATGTGACTTTTGTAACTTTGACTAAACTAATTCACCCAACAACAACAACAAAGTCAAAAGTCCTAATTATCTAGGGTTGGCTACATGGATCTTTTGCTGCCATTGAGATCTATAGAAAGTCATATGTTTAATTAAGTTTAAAATATTTAAATATTTATTTATAATATCTATTAAGGTTTTTTTTAGATTTTCCTCTGTCTCTCCCCATACCATTAACATTGATCATTTTACCTCATCAAACTACCACATCCACAAATCTCCTAAACACATATATATACCATCTTAAACGATTCTCTCTTATTTTATCCTCTATCAAAATGATACCTATTTGTTCACGAATAAAAATATTTTGTTTTCTATCTTTCACAGTAACTCCATACATCCATCTCAATATTCTCATCTCAGCAACATAAATTTTTGTATATGTTATTTTTTAATTATCTAACGCTCAGAACCATAAAGCATTTTTGAAATCATAATTGTCTTATAAAATTTTTCTTTCAATCTTAATGATATTCGGTGATCACACAAGACTCTTGACGCTCATCACCATTTTAACTATCTTGTTTTTACTCTGTGAATAATATCTTCATTAATCCCTCAATCTTGTTGAATAATTAATCCAAGATATCTAAGACTTTTATTTAAAAGAAACTTCTTGTGTATCCAAAGTAACTATATTCTGCTACCTATTCCTAGAATTATTACAATTGCATCTCATATATTTAGTTTTAGTCTTAATCTGAAACCTTCACTTTTTATGGATTGCTTCCATAACTCAAATTTATAATTAATTCTTCATATGCTATTATCAACTAAGAGAATAGTATTCAACTAAGCCAAACCAATTTACCCGATCGAGAATTTGATATGAAAGATGCCAAAAGAGGACAATCACTTAATGACCCATTAATATTCCAAAAAAAGGATAAATAATTTACATATTTTTTACTTCACAGTATCTTACCAAGAACTGTGCTAACTTCACCAAAGCCAAGTGAGTCCCTGAATAGCTCAACACTCTGGTCATACGAAGCAAGCATACCCATATTCAATGACATTGCCCTTACTACTGTAGGACCTGCACCTTTCCATAAAGCTAGAACCCCTTCATCAGCAATAATACGATAGAGTGCATGGAAAGCATTTTTATAGTTTCGTCGCTGTGCAGCAGGTAAAGTTGCATCAGCTTGCATCCTGATTAGTGCTAAATCTGCCGGACTGCCTATGCATGCTCCGATTGCTCCAGCTGTAAGACCAATAGCAGCTTTCTGAAGCAAAGGCAGTGGTTTGCCATCATTTGCCTCAACAGCTTTGTTTGTCAATACCCTAAAGAAAGAAGAAGTCACTGGCTGACTACAAAATTGACAAAAAATAGTATTGTTGTAGTACAACACAAAGAAAAAACTTAGCTACATCATTAATCATATATTTCTTTATACTTCAATCTAGATGCATAACAAGAATATGTGGTTGCAAATGGTATTGATAATTAGGTTCTAATATCAAGATTTCACTAAGTAATCTTCAAAATGGAACATGACAAACAAGCATTAGCCTTGAGATTATACAATTTACACAGACCAGTTTCAACTGTGGTTAGAAAAAGAAAATCACAGCAGATTGAGCACGAGGCTATCAATTAATGTAAGCTTTAATATCTTCATCTAGAATGTAGACTTCCCCTAAGTCATTAAACAAATAGAAACATCTTACTAGAAATACTCCATATTTGCATTTCACCTAGTTACTTGAATATAGTATCCTTTTGCGTCGTTACATGGACCAATATGTAGAAACTGATATTTACTGGTCCAATTGGTATTAAAAACTTTGACGGTAACATACGCATCTTGCAATCTCAACTAGTACAAATGATCATGCTGTCTTGGAACTATAAGGTGGAGAACAAAAGGGAGAGTAGAGAATATCTGAATGTTTTATCAAAACACAGTAATTCTCTAATGATATTGCTGGACATTAACTTACAGCAGGAAACCAGTAAGAGTTTTTCACGAAAGCTTGGAAGACAGTGGAAGGGAGATTTCACAACAGCAGTAAAACGGTAAGAGAAATTTTTTATGCTTGGCAGGAAGTATTTGGGCTTTGATAATCAAAAAGCACAATCATTCTGAGAGTTTAGTAATTGAGGAAATAGGTAACCTTTGTTGGCTACTTGCAGCAATTTACGATAGCAACCTTTCTTCTTTATAATTCTTTATGGGATCACTTGGCCAATATTAATATGAGCAGATTTCCATGGTTTAAACGTGGTGATATAAATGTGATTTTGGATCTGGAAGATAAGACCAAAGATATACCTTTTAAACCCACTCAATCAGTTTTGTATTTTCAGAATTTCATTTTCAAAGATGGACTAATTGACTAGTGTTTCCTTGGTTGATGTTTCACATGGTGTGACTATCATTTTGGAAGCTCTACAATAACGGTTAAACTTGATAGGATTTTTGTTAGATGAGAATTGGAGTTGTATTTTCAATGATGTTATGGTTCAACATCATTCGGATTTTGAACATTTGGACTCCAAAATATAGTACAATCATTTACCTGTGTTGATAACAGCAGGCCAAGTAGATAGGAACAAGTCTAAGCACAGGTTGTTTGGATTGGAAGCCTATTGGTGGGACTTGGGAGTATCCTGAAGTAAACAACCCTGTTAAAAAGTGTTGCTTGCAATCATGATAATCCTCTTAACCATTATTCATCACAAGCCTATCAAACTTAGTCATCCCTTGTTCTCTAGGAATGCTTCGTGTAGGAGGAATCTAGATGATAAGATTAAAGAGACAATGGAGGAAATCTCTAACATAGAGCTTAAAGATTATAATGGGTCGCTTATTGAACCTGACTGTATCAGACTAAAATGGCTTCGTTGCCCTAAACCACTAACTCAATTAAATTGGTGGAATAGAGCCAATATTCAATGAATGGGACGGGTGATAGGAATATCAAGCTCTTTCACAAAATGACTAATTTCAAGAGAAGTAAAACACCATTAATTTGATTGTAAATGAGGATGGCATCTCATTAACTGATGGTAACTTAATCCTTTCTCATTTGTTGATTGGTACCATGACCTTTGTATGGCACTACTCCATTACTCCTTATTGGAGGAAGTGTCTTTCTGTTCCTATAATACCTAATTCTGATCATCATCCAATGTGTTATCATTTATCCTTAAAGGAAAATAATTCTGCCCTTAGTCAAATGGATATGGGGAAAAATCCTAAACAAGATGGTTTGATCATTGATCTTTTAAAAGGCTATTTGGACATTGTTAAAGATAACATTACTAAAGCTTTCTCTAACTTCCATTCTCAATGTTCTCCCAACTAGTTGGGATAAAGCCTTTTTAGTTTACACCTAAAAAAGTTAACTCTTGCAAGGTTGTAAGATATAGACCCATTGCCCTCTGTGATATTTTTTTGCGAGTTCCTTGCAAAATTTCATTGCTCATTTATCAAAAGTAAACTTGATTCTCTTTTTCTACATAATCAATCGACTTTTGTTCTTAGTAGGAATACTCATAATGACATTCTAATAGCTAATATGCTGGTTCATACTATAGCCAAATCCAAAGGACATTCCCCTAATATTTTAATCAAGCTGAATTTGGAGAAAACATACAATGATATCTTAGAAAGCAATATTTGAAATGCTATTTTTATGAATTTTCCTTCAAAATTTAACCTGAACTGCTAATTTTATGAATTTTCCTTCAAGGAATTTTGGGGCTAAAAAACTGTTGCAGATTGTACATCTTGTAGAGCCAACAAACCAAACAAATAGACTATAGGGCAATATACGAGGCATTGAGAAGAGCAAAGCAAGAAGGATGACGAAAAATCTAGGTTCACTCAGATGCAATAGAAGTAATTAACTGTATTAACAGAACTAGCAATGTTGCATCATACTGAAAGTTGGTTATGATTTTTTGGAGTTAGCTTGCAGTGTAAATGTGGTACAATTTAGCAATAACCCTAGAACCGTGAATAGGATAGCACATGCATGCAAATTTTTTCTGAGGGTGATGAAAGTATTTTTTAGTAAATAATGAGGTCTGTTTCAGGAAAAAAACTCATTTTAACTGAGATAAAAAAAAAGTTAAAAATAGCTTATAGCAAGAGTTTAATGAGTTCCTAAGCAATAAAAAAGTCCAGAGTGCTAAAAATGTGACTAAACTGAAACTGTACAGATTCCACATATAACAATAAAAGTAACAGGAGTGAGGATTAACGTCTGACAATAAAAAGCACATGGATTTTAGGATAATCATCCCCTGAAACCATACAGAACCCAGTGCTCATTCTGCCTAAATATGCAGACAACACGAATAACAACAAACATAGTGTGGCAACCTTTAAGTCATGTTCAATTCTGACAAAAGTAAAACTGAAACATTAGTCCAATATAGCAACCTGAGGAGATTTCTGGAAAAGTTATCAGCTAGGCTGTTATCTTAATCAATCCAAAGCTTTAACTTGCAAACCTTAGGAACATATTAAGTATGCAAGGCCAGTTTTGATTTACAGATAATGCCAACAAATTTCACATCATCAGATAAGACTTCTAGTATGTAAATTAACCAGATTGTCAAATGACTAATTTCATGGAAATAAGGGAAATTTTACCTAAAGGAACCCAATCGTGCAGTTGTATAAGTAGCTTGTCTAAGTAAACCAGCGGACAGTCCCTGATGCAAAACAACACATCAGAATGACAAAAAAAAGAACCGATACATGAAAAATAGACTCCAACAAAATGAAATCAGTTCACAGTTAATTGTACTATTGAGATACTCTTTTATGTTTTATATATATGCTTTGTCATAAATATTTGCACATCATATGAATGGTTGCCAAGCTTCTTATAAATTTCATATATGATGATCATAGATTGTCTATATTTTGTATATACTAATATATTAAAAGTATATGCACCAATAGTCATGTCTAAGACATGTTGTATCCTACTTTTAAATTAATTGTGATGTCAGCAAGTTAATCCTGTATGCCCACATAATCCCCCCTACAATAAAATTAACAAGTCTAACCTATATTATTCCCATGTTAAAGTTTCCTACTAAATAACCTTAAGACTACCTATATGAGTTTAACTAGAAAATTAACAAGTCTAACCTATTATATTATTCCCAATTTGACTCCAAATAGAAGAGGTTGTCCAAAATTTCCCTTGAACATAAAGATATTATATGAAATTTGTTAATACAAATAAGACAATAACTCCTTAGGCAGGAAGGCTAGCTTGGACTGAGATCTTTACTCGATACTTAATTAAGTTCTTGGCTTGAATCTTGACTTGGGGATGGTGTCTTTTGGGCTAAGGAATGGATTTTCTATTTGACTGTTGTTAGACCAGCAATACTTCATGGATATGAGTATTGGATAGTAAATAAATAATAAATATAAAAATTTTGTGACGATGAAATAAGAATGTTGAGATCGATGTTTGGAGTTACTAAAAAAGATAAAAGATAGGAAAAAAATATTTTTATTCGTGAACAACTAGATGTACTTTTGATAGAAAAGAAAATGAGTTGGAATCATTTAAAATGGTATGGACACGTGCTAAAAACCCCTATAGATGGAGTTGTTAGAAAATATGAAACAATTACTAGGAGAGGTAGAGAGAGCTAAAAAGAGTCTTCATTTAACTTACAATATGACATTTTACAAGCTCAATGGCAACAAAAATGATTCATATAGGCGAGTCCAAATAGTTGCAATATTACAACTTTGTTGTTACTGTTACTGTTACTGTTAATTGGATCTTTCTGTTCATCCGGATCAGTGTTGTAAATCAAGCCATCATCTCATCAACTTCTTCACGAATATAACCCTAATGTATTTGCAAGATGCCTATCACTGGTAGTTTGAGGCAGGAATGGGAAAAAACTCCAAATTATTCTAACTCGGGTTGCATAGGTTTTGCATCATAAAACAAACCAAACAACTTTGATCAAAATAATCAATTCGAGGTATATCGATTGCCAGAGATATACTTATTTAACATTGTAAAAATTGCATAGCAGCACATGGTTCTATTTATGGACTGCTATTATACTATATTTAAATAGAAAATGCAAAATTTAAATAATCCTTCTACAAAAGAAGGATTAGTTTTGATTGAATCATTTAAGTTATGGTTCAAAGGATCAGTATTGGGTTTCAGTTGAGTGCAGCGTGGCGCAATCCACTGAAACAGATTTGTGCACAATGTTCTGTATGTTGTATCTTAGTCCAGTGGAGCATTAAAGGGCTGGTTGTTGATAAGCCAATTATGCCTAAACCTTCCATCAGAGATGATGTTTAACACTAAAGAAAATTGCTTTAGCACAATATTCATCACAAGAATAGCAATGATCAGAAAGCTTCCAAATCAACTGAGCAGTGCACATCCATCTCACTTCCTATTGAATAACAAATGCTTTAACCATTCTTTTTCTTTTTTATTGAAGCTTATCTGCTTAACCAAACCATACAAGCAACTATGCCCCCACCAAACTCAGAACTGCATACCTATTCTGCTAGAACAAATACAAAATAGTAGGTCAGCGATTTACTAATCCAAAAGAGACTTAGGATGACACGCACATTAATTGTTTTACTCCTTAGAAAATGCTGATATTTGAGGAATTAGGATCAACGTCAAGAGTTACACAATCAATAGCAAAAAGGAAAACAAAGATTAGTGACAGAGACAAAAGAATGTCGAGCGAACCTTGTATAAGGAGCCAAACCCTTCGTTGGCAAGCATGTTCTTTGTAACTTGGACAGCTGACCCCTGACCCAGCTGGATCCTAACCTGGAACCATAAAAATTACCATCACATGAAGGAATCATAACCCCGAACAAGACTACCATACCATATCATTAATTAATCCGATCGACATATGTTTTCCAGCATCACGACAACAAGAACATCACCCTTTCGCTTAGATCCGGACAAACATTCTAAAGAAGCTTTCAGATCATAAAATATCCTAAAGGACCTCATTTCTGCAAGCATAACCAGAGCCCTTCGAGTCATAGAATGGGAGAGAGGGGGGGAGGAAGATCTGTGGTGTACCTTGACCATGTCGATGGGTTGGATGACACAGGTGGCAAGCATGCCGGAGACGCCGCCATTGACGAAGGGCTTGACGGTGGTCCAGACTCCGGACTGGCTCTTGGGTTTCCCCTCGGCCATCTCCACTCAAATTCTCGACGCGAGCGAGCGAGCGAGCGAGCGAGAGAGAAAGGAGACAGACCGCACAATACAGTCCAGACGAGCGGCGACAGGAAAATGAAGAAAACCTATTTAACTTTAATTCTTTTTAATATATTTATGTTTCAAAATCTGAAAATTATTATTATATTTAATTTATTTCTTCCATATATATATATATATATATATATATATATATATATATATATATATATATATATATATATATATATATATATATATATATATATAT